TTGTGTATCGATAGACAATACCTCAGTACTTCATTGTATACATAAATATGTAGTGTACAATAGTGTAGACGAAATTGCCTTGAGCGAGACACCAGGCTTAAACTGCTTCTGAACAGAATACTAAGCGATGCCTATATTGGACAGTACAGGTATCTAATACGTGAGTTGAAATTATCGAGGCATAGGATTTGAAAATGTATTGTCCGGGATCGCTTTGAAGGTTTTTTGGGGAAGACAACATTATTATAACATTATGTTTTGTGGATGCGGGGACCCAGATTAACGTGTACTTTGCGGCTTGAGAAGTCTAGTGTGATTGGTAGTAGAACAATTCTTTACCAGCGCAAAAGCATGTATTATGTTTGATGAGGGATTATGACCGTAATATAATATAATAGCAATTTGACTACTTGGAGATTATTCGGGACATTTATCAAAAACACAAACTATATTTAGCTATATAAATATAGCTTTTTTTTCTAGTGTTTTCGAAGTTGAACATCAAAGTATTCTTTTACTAATAGCGCGGATATTTTGTTATTAATAAAATTATGTTTCGTATCATGGATTCTTGATAATTAATCAGTTGCCTGGGCTATGTATAGTTGCAGTGTAGAAGAACGTTTTGATGCTCTCTCAACTGATCGACATTTAGCCCTGCAAATGAATAGCGACGTTCTCTTATAGGGCTAGTCACCTAATAAGACGGATATTTTACCCAGTTGGCAGAGACATATTCATTATATATTTGACTTAATGTTGTTTTCAATAGTTGACAAAAAATCTCTTGAATTTAAACTCGAAATAAAAACAGTTGTGAGTTTAAAAGTCGACCGAAATTTTTTTTCTTTTTCTTGTTCTTTGTGTATTTATTTTAGTAAAATCTGATAATCTCTTATTGTATGATATAATGAACGATAAAGAGAATAGTTTAATTATTCCATACTAATATTAGATAGCGAAAGTAGGTCTCTGTTTATGCCTGTTAAGCTCTACCGCCTTATCCGCTAAAATAATTAACTTGAGATAGGGCATAGTTTCCTTTCTGTTGAGATAAAAAGGTCGAAATAGGGATTTGTAGTTTGTGTATATGTTCGTCATTGCTCATAGTTAAAATCATGAAACTGTATATTCAGGTATATATAATATTTGTTTAAGCGTTTTTTTTCAATGCTGCTCGAAGTAACTATACCACGCGGGCGATGTCACGGGCAAAAACCAGTTTAGGTATAACGTTAATACTCAGTGGTACTTTAGGCATAATTAATGAAGGCTCTAATATCATAGTTATAGCAATAGTCACGATAACAGCAATAATCTTACTATTAGCATTACCCGAATATGTTGATAAGAGGCACGCTCTAATAAATATTTAGTCCTGATTCTGGGCGGGATCATAATCTAAGTATACATGCTGTATAGTGTAATATTGTTATGAACGATATAGGTATTTGCATATCAGACTATACTGTTTTCCTTTTAATGTCATTGTGACTGTCTATCGCTCTCGCTTTATTGTTTCTCCTCTCTGTTTAACAAAAATCTATACTCGTGTTATAGAAAGGAAATGTTAGATTGTCTTAATCGCATTGAATAGGCTTCGAAACTACTGAACCGATTTTTAAAATTATTCAAAAACTATATCATACGCATCATCATCATCATCAGCCCTTTTACGTCCCCACAGCAAGAGCTCAGGCCTTATGTATGGTTAAGGAGGACGGGCCATGACCCTCCACACTGACCCAATGCGGATTGGAGGGTATTAACGACTGCAAATGTAGCCGGGAACTACGGCCTAACGTGCCTTTCGAAGCACGGAGTAGCTCGAGATAATAATTTTTGGTCTCCCATCCCGTGACCGACCCTTGCGAAAGTTGCTTAACGACAAGGATCGCGTGCCGCGGCGCTTATCCACTACGCCAACGAGCTACTCGCGGGCGACATGGGCGACATAAGCTATATAAACGTAGGCGACGCCCGCCGCGGGGAAACAGTCAGTCTATTGTATAATTACGATTGTAATTTTTGCAAGTCATTCAATTTACCGATCAAGAATATAACATAAAAACCGAGAGTTGATGACGCATTACAGTGTACTGACATGAGGCTCACATGAGCAAAATTTTTGGGGACCTAACGACAAACGACTGGAGATAAAGTGGCCAATTAAGGCAGGGTTCTTGACACGTCTCTAATTTGTCAGAAATGTTACAATCCGCAGCCGGGCGACAAGGGCCCTCCCGGGGGAACTCAATCGGATTACGTTCGTAACTATCTTGAGCCTGCGGCTTTGCTCATGCGTGTTGTGCTCTCATACGTATATTTGATTCCGTTTGTGACCCCCTCAAATCTGAAGATGATCGTACAAATCAACAGATTTGCGTTTCGTTTTTGTATTCGTTTGAGACGTTACAAATCTGTCAGTTGGAATCTATCATAGATAAATAATAAAGTAAGTAATGTTAACAACTTAATGATTTAGACTATCAAAAACTTAATTTTCTACGGAACTTTATACAGAGGAAATATAATAAACATACATTCAAAGTAACATCAACAAAATCCCATAAAAAGAAGGCAACCAAATAAAACTATTATAAGTGTCGAATAGTACAGTACAGTGTTGAATTGGAGATAAAAATCTTGTGTCTTAAAAATAACCAACTAAAGACATTACTATGAACTTAACTTATTAAACGAACAAAAACATTAATAAAAAAAATAATGTTTCAGTGATTTAATAGGATCACGAGTGAGCGTGAGCAATGTTTTATTCTAGAAAGGGTAGTGTAGAGGCCTGCGTATACAGCGTGTTTGGTAATACCTGTATAATCCCGAAACATGGCCAGTCAACCTAGCACAAAGAACACAATTGATAGGTCAAAAAACAATTTCATGTAAATTGATATTTTCATACAAATATTTGAACAATGTGTTTTCAATTACTATGCTACAACCCTGTAAGCTTACACGTGCCGTCCCGGCGCACTCGCTCTTTCTCTCTCTCTCTCTCTCATTACCTCTCACTCTCTCGTTTCCTTGAATACATTTTGATGTTGCCGACGCGCGCACTCGACTACGTATGAGTTTACTTGTAATTAAAACAATTTAAGATTAAATAGGTACATACCTATAGCGTTCTAATCACTCTTTCAGCTTTCACTTGTCAACATTACCTACACTTCACCTCCACTTTATCAGTCCAGGGTCTCGATATGCCGGCCACCGCATAAAACACACATCTCCATTCGACTCGACACAGACCGTGTCGTGTTACTCTCGACGTAAAGTCATATCCTCTGTCTCGATGGAATAGGTGATCGGCCGGCCTACCTGTGGCACACTATGGAATGAACCAGTTGTATGTAACCAATTCACAAATGCCGCGAATCACCGGTAAGAAGGAAGACGTCGATGGTTTTCAGGTCTTCCTGACACGTGGCGCTCGTCATAACGCCGCCGAGCCGCAGCAAGATTACCGTCACAAGCACCGCCACACATTATCATCTCGTAATATTAGGCATTTGAGTACAAATTCATTGCACTGACCGCACACAAACATAATAAACATAATAACATAATAAACAGAACGAGAATGAAAAACAAACCAAAAGTCCCGAAAGAACGAAAACGTAAGTTGACCTTCTAAATTCTGAAAACTCACAAGTACGCCGATGAAAGTCACGGACGCGACTGACGCGATGACCAAAACTACATAGGTTATTATTATTGCAACTCGAACACCAATGTACCTAAATCAAAAGTGTACCGATTTTGGGGTTCCGCGTCAAGAAATATTATTTATTATTAGACCTTTCCATTACAACTAACCTTTATTTAATTATCATTTAAACTAAGAATAAGAGAGATACTTAGATTATTAATATCATTGTATAAGTCCGTATTTTATTGTTTCGTGAAAATAACACGGCTTTATGAAAAAAATAACAAAACTTCAAAGCAAATAATCTACAGAACCTTACTGACACATCAGAAACCCGAGTTTCTCAATACACATCGTCGTCGATTTTATGTCTCTCTCGCTCCTTCTTGCATAGACTAATGTGAGCAGTGGTGCAGATATTGAACTTCAATCAAAGTATTTGCAATTTCTTTTTTATTTTGACTGTATTATTACAGAAGTTTTCATATTAATAGTTTTTGAAACACCGTTAATCACAAGATTAGTGTTTTTTATAGTTAAAAGTCATTTACTACTAACTTTTTCTTTGTTTGGAAATAATAAATTCCTCTCAGATGCATATTTATTCTAGGCATTTATCTTTAGATTTATTTAACTTCTGTTATTTTTTAAACTAGTTCGGCACATGGAGTCGATGACCAAATACAACACAATAGCTGTTTTTAGGGTTGTCAGCGTACAGTTTTACTTCGAAGAAAAAAAGCTGAATATCTAGGTCATGTGCTGGGTTTCAGTGTTAGTGATCATTTTTCTGGGTTCTATTCATCATACCGTATGTGCCATATTCGGGATTATACAGGTATTACCAAACACGCTGTATATTTACGAAATTCTATTGTATTATTTTTTATTATTGTGAAAGTAACGAAGATCCCTCTATTAGGTTAAGTCAAATTTAAGTGGAGTCCTTCCATTATTCGAATGAACAAGACAAAGGTACGTAAAGTAATGAGTATTATTATAAAAGCCAAACATAAAACATTCAATAGAAGAAACTTTCCGAATTGCTATTTTTTTTTGTAATGATCCCACTACTGATAGTAATCAAACCTAAAGGGCATGAATAACTCTACGATGTGGTAAACTTGCCCAGAAAGAATCTGTATAGGCCTGGTTCCTTTAGGTCATCTTTAATTTATGTAGACCTCATCAATCCTCCCCTATACGAAATCATTTCCTCACATAGGCCAGCTAACTAATTAAATAAGCCCCAATAAATCTCGTGGCCCAACAGTCCGTCGGTTGAAACGTTTTAATTAACTTCCGCCAAACACGTGACCGGGTCGTTACTTACCCGTGCGCGGGATCTGGTCCCCTGCTGGTAGTCCGATCCGTAGCCTCGACCCTGAAACAAAAGAACATTAAACGGTTAAATACTAGGTACAATTGAAAGGAATGACATTCATTTGTCTGACTACACTATTGAAAAGAGAAGACACAAATAAAAATATTGCTTCTATTTTTTGGTGGGAACAATAGTACCGTAATTTAGCCTGTATCGTCATATGATTAGTATATAGTAGGTAGTTTTCCTAATAAAGCTTTTATATTAAAATGAAATGGGCCTTATTCTGTGGCCTTGAGTTTATCAAAAACAAGGTTTTTATTATGAGTGAACTAAGTAGAACTCAGGATAACAGAAAAAAGTCTACCATATTCATTGTTTAAGAATAGGTCCCGAGGGAATAACAAATTTTAGGAGAACAGCTTTTGAAATTTTACTATCTATCATTGACTTTTGAGGTATGTACACTGAATTTCACAGAATAAATGTGAATTGGAATGACATATGTACTCGTATAATTTTGTTAAGTGCACGTGTTACATAATAATATTTTAATCATTAACGAACGTTTGTAGTCGTTTTCTTTACTCTGTATATACAAACAGGTGGTATGATTATTTTAAATACAAAATATTATTTACTCTTGTGACATTACTAAATTAACACAACCATCGTCGCTCGGCTGTGAGTCGGTCGACATATGAAAGGTTAAAGAAAGGATACGAATTCCATCTCGCTCACCTGACATTATCCAAATATTTAAGATAAAAAACTATATTAAGTATATTATTAAAAAAAAAATTGGTGAATTTGGATTTATATGCCCGCAACGTGATTGCACGATTTATTATATTTCGGAAAAAATGAAGGTTGAATTGTATAAAATGGATAATGTAATCAAGAACAATGGATTTATTTCAGTTCACATTACTGCTAATATAAAGCAATTTACTATCATCAAACTGAGTTAGCAGCCCTTGACCTTAATCTAGTATCTGAGATGTGAAAGATTACTTGAAATCAACTGAATTGTCTTGGCGGATATAAAGATTCTTTTACTGTATTGGTTGACCCAAAGAGCAAAAACAGGATACTATTAATAAGACTCCGCTGCCTGCCTGTATGTCTGTCATAAGGCTCTATAATGGATAACGTGACTTTTTACAGATTTATTTATGAATGCGGAACATTGATGAATATTCTCTTCTTCAAACATTGTTTTTACTGAGAATATGAGTATTGTTACTTTTCCAGTTACGGTGTCTATAGTACGTTAAACTATGTTATATATTTCTATACTATAATATTAAAAAGAGGAAAGTTCTGAGTGTTTGTTTGCACTAAATAGGCTTAGAAACTACTAGATCGATAAAAAATCTTTCACCTAAGTGAAGTTAGATGGGTGTTATAGGTGTAATAGGGATGAAGACTTATTTTTGTTTGTTTGTACGTCAGTTAGAGTTTAAAAAAATACTAAACACGTATTTTTTTCGTAATCATAAAATTACGGCGTTACATGGAGTTGAAATTTAGCATGACGTCACGTTAGGGTACGTTTTCTACTAAACTGTGACGTAGCGAGCCCCCACTCCTCAACTTTAATGTCTGTTATCTAAGCTATTTCTTGTTAAATTGAAGTAAAAAAAAAATACGTATCTAATATTTTTATATTATCTGACTGATGGACTAAATAGAATTGCATTTTTTTTAACCCAGTCGTCATCCCTATTTACACGGGCGAAGCCGCGGAAAAACAGTAGTGTTTAGCGTAGTAACATCAAGTTACTACGATCGGATCATGAATATTTTGATCACCGTTGTTTAGTTTCTTAACTTTATTATTACATTTTTATTTTCTATAATCAAAAACCTACAGAAATTTGAGTCGGAAGTTAATCATATAACATCAGGAACTTAACGCGCTCACGCTTGGAAGACGCCAACCCGACTGTAACCACAAACTAGTTAGTTTTGGTTACATCTCGGTGCTTACGTTATTACAGTTGCGTGTTATTACGCCGGGGGACTGGAAAGTCAAAGACTTGCGGTTTTGAATACGTTTAAATAATCTCAACGACTATAACGTTTGATGCGGAACTTTATAAATAGTTTTGAGATAATTAACAGTTAATGTTAGGTACTCATTACTGTATTTAATTCTGGTTCTGCGTCACCTTCCTCCGTTAAGCGAGGTCGGCTTTTTAAATTTTGAGGTATCACTTATATCGCTTGAAAGTGTCGTCTTTCGCTAGGTCATTCTTTTTCATGACCTTTTATCTTCGTCATTCACGAAATCTCAGTGTCTCTCCTTTTTACATTACTACTGTATATAATCACATGAAATTTCCAATTCTGATAACGCGTTTATTCTTCGGAATCCACTAGTGCTTTGTACCGCAAGGTAACAAATTGCAGCCACAACTGTTACCGTAATGGGGTTGAACTACATCTGGTGGAGCGTTTACCATCTCCAGTCTTATAGAACGAGAGAAAAAGTGTATCGGTATTTCCACGGTATACTATCCCAACCCCGTTGTCTTTCTCGCTCTTGCAAGATGTAGTTATACTCAAACTTCATCTTCACGGTAAATTCCTTGAGGGTCAACCGAGTTAAGAACTTTTTGCTTCACAATATTCTCGCCGGTTATTTACCATTTTATCCACTCATACTATCTTTCAAATTAACGTCTTTCTTTTATCTTGAATAGATGCAGCCGCGCATTACTCTTCAAATTTGTGAGTTAAGAATAAAATAAATGCTTTTATAGTAGTTTATGCTACTGTCTTATAAGAAGGGGTATTAAAACACGAGAGTCTGTTTATATAATAGGTTAGCTCGAGTGTTTTAATACCTAAGTTATATGCAGTTTCATATACTACTTTATCTTCACTCATAGGAAAAATTCAAATTAAAAAAAGTAGGTAGGTTACAAGGAAGTAACTTATATGTGCGCCATTTTTTCACAGTTCGAACTGCGCATGCGTGCCTTTTTTCATAATCAGCCTAAAACCATAGACTAGTGAATAAAAAAGATAGCGGTACTATAACGAGTTTTATGATACAGTTGGCGGTACTAGAATGAGTTTTATTTTTAATTTTATGAATTTGAATTTGAATTCGTAATTCGAATTTTTCGATTTGAGTGTAGATATAATATATTGTTTTCCTTCTAAACTAAAAAGTAAAATATAATAAACGTAAAAACTAAATTCTGGGGTCTTATAACAAAAGAACAAATAAGAGTATCGTTGCAGAAATTACAAAGAAAACAACGATATTTCCCTCACAACTGGAAACGGAAAGCTGGTTAAATATTTTAAGTGCTACAAGTTCAATAAGCGACATCAACAAGTTTGGTCATGGTGCTAAAACTCTACCCAGAGGAGTTCCAACTGTAATACAATTTGCAGGAAGTCTCAAACTTTTGTACAGACAAAGCCCCCAAGTTCTTCGGGAGGCAGCGGTTCATATTTTATGCAAGTAACTTGCTTGGTAGTTTTTTATCATCAGATACCGCTGTGGTCGGTCGTTTTAGGAGCACTAGTTTTTCAATCTGCGTAAGTTCTGGCAACTATTAATGTATTAACCAATAACTTATTAAGTGCGGTTTTTTCGCTTCACATTTCCTAAATAAGCTTTATCATATATATATTATATGTATTGGGAGTTTTAAATGTAATTTTAAAAAAATCTCACTTTATCTACAACAGGCTAAAAGCTTGTGCCTGTGAGCTGCTTTCTGATTTTCACTTCAGTGAGACGTGACTTATTAGAATATTTATATTATGTAATATTACGTATTATGTTATACTCGTACTATACATATATTTTTTATTGCATTTTTATTTTATTGTATACATATTTGACTTCTGTTATGTACTTGGCGTAGTGATGATCTCAAGAACTTAAGGTTGCCACGGAAGACCAGCGTCGGGCTGTCTAACACATTCGACACATGCCTAGTGGCTGGTTTTTCAATGTCATATTAACAGTAATATATCCTTTTTGTTTTTGTTTTTTTGTGTGGTCACTGAATAAATAATTTTCGTTCTTTCTTTCTTAATCAGCTGCTGACTTCCAAGTTACCATCATCAGTATATTAATATATTTGCCTAACGGATGAATGCACTTTTAATAAAATACGGAAGGATAAAGAAGGAGTTCAAGTTCACAAAATTTCGGTCACCCATTCTATTACTGGTCCTAGCGAAATTTGCTTAATTTCCGCATTACAAAACGATCGCGCTATACACTGTAAGGTCTAGCTAAAAACTCCTGTTAAAAAAATAAAGGAAAAATATCCTTAGGCGTTAATTAGAAAACGAAGTATAAACATCACAATCTTAAAAATCACCTGTCAATGTGACACACAAGAAGTATATACATATATATATATACACATACTTCTATGATTCATTGCATTATTGGCACAAAATAATTTATCTGCTCATAGATTTATACGGATTTCTACAAAATATTTATTCATTTTTGGCACAAAGATGTTTAGACTAATTAGCGCTCAAAATGTTTTTTCCTTGAGCGCTGGTATCTATTACAACTACATTAAAGAAATAAAAAAATATAATTACTAAGTACAGTCTTCTTTAGAACTTATTCAGGCTTAAATAAAATTAATGAGTAGATGAAATAAACGTAGGCTTCAAGAACTTAGTTCATTAATTATGTGAATGTGCTGTGATAAAACCGACAAAATCTATTTTGTAAACATACTCCTATAAAATAAAACACGGGTGTTTATGAGTTCTAAAGCCTAAACCTAATCGATTATGAGTTATCAAATGTCTGTCGTCGAGTTTGTATAAACTAAAATGATTTGCCTCCTCATAGGTTTCTTCAACAAGTAGTCTTTTCATATAGCGTAGTCGTTTTTTCACATCAAAAGAAGAAAAAGTTATTTTCATAAAAAAAAAATCCTTTTGCGGGATCTCTTTGTATCGCCGTTTTTGGCATGTAAGCGATTTGTCAGAGGTCTGCGTAGCGGTATTCATAGCTTCTTTGACTGATCGCACATATATTTCGATTAAGTCCAAACACGTAG